AGGAATGCCATTCAAAACTGTCACCAACTAGGTGGCTTAAAAACAGCAAAAACCCATGCTCTCCCAGTTCTGGAAGGCCGAAGTGGGAAATCAAGGTGTGGGGACGACCAGCTTCTGCTGGCTGTCAGCATCCCTGACGTCCCTCAGCTGTAGACTCCCCGCTCCAATCTCTGCTTCCGTCTTCACGTGCCCTTCTCCTGTGTGGGTCTCTGTGTGTTCCCTCTTGTTTTTATAAGGACCCCTGTCCTTGGATTAGGGCCCACCCTACTCCAGTATGACCCCACCTTAACTTGATCCCACCTGCAAAGACCCCATTTCCAAATAAGCTCACCTCCACAGGGGCCAGGACCTGAACGTCTCTTTTGGGGGACACAGTTCACTCCATGACAGGCAGCAAGCTGAAACTCAAGGAGGGGCCCCCTTGCCCAGAGTCCCCTGCTTGGTGCCTTTCCGGCATCTTCCCTGTCCGCCCGGTGCCTGGGCCACATCACGTAGCTGTTACAGCTGCAGAGCTGAGCTCTCGTTGGAGGACCTGGGTGTCTGTGTCCACCACCGTGAGCCAGGCTGGTCATGCACGGCCCTCAGATTCTTTGTGGTTACCACTGAAAACTTTGAGATGGATGAGGGTTAGCCGCCTCCCTGCAACTTCCCTGCCTGGTTATAATGCAACAGGCATTATAATGCCCAGAGTTTGCCGGGTGTGCAGACACGGATGAATCAAATAGTCACCAAAAGCAGACATAGAACAGTCAGACCTCCTGTATTTTATGCTCAGTGAGGACCTGGGCTCTTGTGTTTCCAGATGCCCCAGTGACCCTTTGCCTCCTGGGTTGGCCGGGCAGGAAGGGCAGTGTTCTGGGGGCAGACGCCACTGCCCTCTTAGTGGGCGACAGGCAACCAGAGTCCCCCGTAAGGGGACTGAACTGTGCACAGAGCTGTTGAGGAATCAAACCTCAGGAGCCGTCACCAAGGGTGGATGCCTCCCGCACTGGATCCTTAAAACCCGTCCGCGTGGAGGCGGTGGGGTGAGCTTCCTTTGAGCCCGTCTGCACACCTTCAGTGCTTTCTGCCTTCTCCAGTGAGAACCGTTTCTAATAACTACGCTGCCTGTCAGTGGACTATTTTCCGCTGATCCACTAATTTCACCAACGCAAACCCACTTCTGACGTCCAGATAATGGAAGCCCGTGGAGTAGCCGCCCTGGGCTGGGGCGTCCTGGATGAGGATGCCAGCCGGCCCCTGAGGAGGGCCCCCCCCACCACCGATCTGAATGCTGGCTGCCCCCACCTGCATCCTTCATAGGGTCCATGGGGACATCGCCATATCACTGGAGAGAGCTTTGAGGACGCCAGTCCTGGGGCCCAAGAAGGAGGGCTCAGCCCCGCCCCATGTCTCGTAGGAGGACGGTTCTGCCTTTGTGTGTGTGGAGGTTGGCTGGCACAGCTGTTCAGGCAGAGCCCTCCGGGCCGGCCAGTTGGGGCCGCGGCCGGGATGCTGATCTGGCTTCCAGGTTTGTCTCCCTCACCAGCTGGGCCCTTCCCAGCGATGAGACTGGTCCCTCGAGGCTGCGGTGGCCACCTGCTCCCTGGGCACGCCCTCCCTCCGCTCTCCTGAGGAGATGAGACCTTATTCTGGGGAAGGTGCCCAAGAGCTGAGGCATCCAGAGGCTGGATCCACAGCCAGCGTGAAAGCAGGCAGAGAGAAAGCCTGAGTGGTCAACCGGTGTATAGCCGACACCGCGGTCCCCAGCCACGGCCAGGGTGCTCGGTGAGCCCCATCTCCATCCTCTGCTGGCGCTCTGGGTGTTTTTCACCTCACGCCCAGCCAAATCAAACCACATTGTGAGCAGCGCAGAGAATAGTCCCAGACAGAATCGCGCGGATCTGAGTTCCCCAAACACCCTGCAGATCCCTGGAGGAGTGGCTCGAAGGTAAGGGGAGTTTGGGGCTGTTTCCCCCCCGGAGCTAAACACTGTCCTTACTCAGCACCCTGCTTCGAAGTTTCCCCAAACTTGAAACAGGAGAAGCCCTGCTCCCCGTGGCCCCGTCCCCTCCTCCCACCTGAGCTCTAGGAGCCGCCTGTGGAGCGGCCTTGCTTCCCCATCTCTTGCCCCCTCTTCGGCCCGGTGTCCCCTCCCCCAACAGCAGGACGAGCCTCGCTGAGGCTCCAGGGGGCCCCTTTCCAGACGTCCGGCAGGCCCCCCGCACCCTTCCTTTTTAAACAGCTTCACTGAGGGGTCAGTCACATACCTTACAGTCCCCCCATTTTTTAAAATTGGAGTACAGTTGATTTTGCAATGCTGTGTTAGCTTCTGCTGCCCAGCAAAGTGCCTCTGTTGTACATATACATGTACCCACTCTTTTTTAGAATCTTTTCCCATTAGACCATTAGAGTACTGAGCAGAGCTCCCCGAGCTCTGCAGTAGCTCCTTGTTAGTTCTCTGTTTTACGTAGTGTGTCTGTGTCCATCCCAATCCCCCAGGTCGTCCCACCCGCCGACCCTCCTTGGTCACTGTCAGCTTGTTCTCTACGTCTGTGACTCTCGTTCTGCTTTGCCAATAAGTTCATCTGGACCGTTTTTCTAGATTCCGCCTATAAGCGATATTACACCGTATTCGTTTTCCTCTTTCTGGCTCACTTCACCCTGTATGAGAGTCTCTAGACGCAACGCACAGTACGTGCCATCCTCGCCACTGTCAAGTTGAGAACATTCCTGTCCGCTCACCAAGACCCCCGTCCCTTTCAGGTGTCAGCCCATCCCCTCCATCCCCACCCCAAATAACCACTAACCTTTCGGTCGCTGTGGGTTCCCCGTTCTGGACATTTCCTTCCTGTCTCAGCATTGTGTCATCAAGGCTCACCTGCTGCAGCTCTGTCCCCTTCTACACCCGGATCACAGTGGACTTTGGGGAGACCGCATTTTTTTTTTTTTTTTTTTTTTTTTGCGGTATGCGGGCCTCTCACTGTTGCGGCCTCTCCCGTTGCGGAGCACAGGCTCCGGACGCGCA